CTATGTACATATATATATATATATAATATATATATATATATATATATATATATATATATAATATATGCAAAACAGCCACTGTGTAAGAATAGAGAAATTACAAGCGCTTTCGTGACTATATATATATATATATATATATATATATATATATATATATATATATATAATATATATTATATATATATATATATATATATATATATAATATATATAGTCACGAAAGCGCTTGTAATTTCTCTATTCTTACACAGTGGCTGTTTTGCATATATATATATATATATATATATATATATATATATATATATATATATATATATATATATATATATATATATATATATATATATATATATTATAATTAGGTAGATGGCGAGAATATTTTGAGGAACTTTTAAATGTTGAGGAAGAAAGGGAGGCGGTAATTTCATGCACTGGTCAGGGAGGTATAACATCTTTTAGGAGTGAAGAAGAGCAGAATGTAAGTGTGGTGGAGGTACGTGAGGCATTACGTACAATGAAAGGGGGTAAAGCAGCTGGAACTGATGGGATCATGACAGAAATGTTAAAAGCAGGGGGGGATATAGTGTTGGAGTGGTTGGTACTTTTGTTTAATAAATGTATGAAATTGGGGAAGGTACCTAGGGATTGGCGGAAAGCATGTATAGTCCCTTTATATAAAGGGAAAGGGGACAAAAGAGATTGTAAAAATTATAGAGGAATAAGTTTACTGAGTATACCAGGAAAAGTATACGGTAGGGTTATAATTGAAAGAATTAGAGGTAAGACAGAATGTAGAATTGCGGACGAGCAAGGAGGGCTTCAGAGTGGGTAGGGATGTGTAGATCAAGTGTTTACATTGAAGCATATATGTGAACAGTATTTAGATAAAGGTAGGGAAGTTTTTATTGCATTTATGGATTTAGAAAAGGCATATGATAGAGTAGATAGAGGAGCAATGTGGCAGATGTTGCAAGTTTATGGAATAGGTGGTAAGTTTACTAAATGCTGTAAAGAGCTTTTATGAGGATAGTGAGGCTCAGGTTAGGTGTGTAGAAGAGAGGGAGACTACTTCCCGGTAAAAGTAGCTCTTAGACAGGGATGTGTAATGTCACCATGGTTGTTTAATATATTTATAGATGGGGTTGTAAAAGAAGTAAATGCTAGGTGTTCGGGAGAGGGGTGGATTAAATTATGGGAATCAAATTCAAAATGGGAATTGACACAGTTACTATTTTGCTGATGATACTGTGCTTATGGGAGATTCTAAAGAAAAATTGCAAAGGTTAGTGGATGAGTTTGAGAGTGTGTGTAAAGGTAGAAAGTTGAAAGTGAACATAGAAAAGAGTAAGGTGATGAGGGTATCAAATGATTTAGATAAAGAAAAATTGGATATCAAATTGGGAGGAGGAGTATGGAAGAAGTGAATGTTTTCAGATACTTGGGAGTTGACGTGTCGGCGGATGGATTTATGAAGGATGAGGGTAATCATAGAATTGATGAGGGAAAAAAGGTGAGTGGTGCGTTGAGGTATATGTGGAGTTAAAAAACGTTAATCTATGGAGGCAAGAAGGGAATGTATGAAAGTATAGTAAGTACCAACACTCTTATATGGATGTGAAGCTTGGGTGGTAAATGCAGCAGCGAGGAGACGGTTGGAGGCAGTGGAAATGTCCTGTCTAAGGGCAATGTGTGGTGTAAATATTATGCAGAAAATTCGGAGTGTGGAAATTAGAAGAAGGTGTGGAGTTAATAAAAGCATTAGTCAGAGGGCAGAAGAGGGGTTGTTGAGGTGGTTTGGTCATTAGAGAAAATGGATCAAAGTAGAATGACATGGAAAGCATATAAATCTTTTAGGGGAAGGAAAGGGAGGGTAGGGGTCGTCCTCGAAAGGGTTGGAAAGAGGGGTAAAGGAGGTTTTGTGGGCGGGGGGGGTAAAGGAGGTTTTGGGGGGCGAGGGGCTTGGACTTCCAGCAAGCGTGCATGAGCGTGTTAGATAGGAGTGAGGGAGACGAATGATACTTGGGACCTGACGATCTGTTGGAGTGTGAGCAGGTAATATTTAGTGAAGGGATTCAGGGAACCGGTTATTTTCATATAGTCGGATTTGAGTCCTGGAAATGGGAAGTAAATGCCTGCACTTTAAAGGAGGGGTTTTTGGGATATTGGCAGTTTGGAGGGATAGTTGTGTATCTTTATACGTATATGTTTTCTAAACTGTTGTATTCTGGCACCTCTGTAAAAGCAGTGATAATGTGTGAGTGTGGTGAAAGTGTTGAATGATGATGAAAGTATTTTCTTTTTGGGGATTTTCTTTCTTTTTTGGGGTCACCTGCCTCGTGGGAGACGACCGACTTGTTGAATATTATATATATATATATATATATATTTTATATATAAAATATAAATATATAAAATATATTATATTTATAGGTAGTAGGTTGGTAGACAGCAACCACCCAGGGAGGTACTACCGTCCTGCCCAAATGAGTGTAAAACGAGCCTGTGATTGTTTTACATGATGGTAGGATTGCTGATGTCTTTTGTCTGTCTCATAAATATGCAAGATTACAGGCATGGGCTTGCTACTTCCACTTACACTTGGTCACACTACACATACATGTACACATTTATTTTACACACTCATCTGAGTTTTCTTTGATTTTATCTTAATAGTTCTTGGTCTTATTATTTCCTTTTATATCCATGGGGAAGTGGAATAGAATCTTTCTTTCCTCCGTAAGCCCATGCGTGGTGTAAACGTCAAACTAAATGCCGGGAACAATGGGCTAGGTAATAAACATAAAAACCCCTTTTCCTGTAAAGATTACTAAAATGGAATAAGAAGGAAGATAAAATTGTCAAAGGTGGGAAGTTCTGAAAGTTGCGTTGGATGTTGGCAGATGATAAAGAAAGAGATGATTGTGGATGGTTATGAATGAGAGAAGCTGGATGTCCTTGCTTAAGTGTAACCAAAGCTGAAAGGGAGTGGTGGGAGTTGAGGAGTTTCAGTGGAGAGGTATAAATGGGATTAGGTTCAGGGTTTCAAATAGGTAGAGTAAAGAATGGAGTTAGCCAATTATGTTGAAGGATAAGCTATGGCAGGAAAAGAGGGACTATAAAATGTATTAAGTCAAGGATTATGGTGGCGTGAAAATAAAGATTGGATGTGAAAAAGTGGGTTTAATAAGCGTTTGTAATGCACCTGGAGAAGAGAGAAGTGTAGAGGAGAGAGAAGAGATTGTGGGAAATGTTGAGTGAATGCGTGGGGAAGGTTTGAATCAAGTGTGAGAGTTAATGGTGGTTGGGGATTTTAATGCTAAAGTGGGTAAAAAATGTTATGGAGGGGAGTAGTAGGTAATTTGGGGGCCGGTGCCAGGGGAAATGTAAAATGGGGAAGCTTGTAATTGAGCTATGTGTAGAAAGAAATTTAGGTAATAAGTAATACATATTTTTATGAAAAGAAGGATAAATAAATATACAAGGTATGAGTAGCATAGTTAATGAAAGTAGTTTATTAGATTATGTATTGGTGGATAAAAAGGTTGTTGGGTAGGCTCCAGGATTGTACATGTTATAGAGGGGCAAAAACTGATATATCGGATCATTATTTAGTTGTAGCTATGTTAGATGTAAGAGATAGATGGGAAAAGAGGAAGGTGCCAACATCAAGTAGAGGGAGGTGAAAAGTGTATAAACTAGGGAGGAGGATAGTTCGGCGTGAGATATAAGCGACTATTGCAGAACAGGTGTGGGCTAGTGCAAAGCTGGGTAGTTGTTTTTTGGGGGGGTTGAAGAGGGTTGGAATAGTTTAAAAAATGCAGTTAGAATGTGGGGCAGAAGTTTGTGGTTATAGAGGGTGGGGGCAGGGAGGAACGAGGACGTGATTGGTGGAAATGATGAAGTAAAGGGGTGATAAAAGCGAAAAAGGTAGCTTATGAGAGTTTTTACAAAGCAGAAGTGTTATAAGAAGAAGCAGAGTAGGGTATATGGAGAGTAAAAGATCAGGTAAAGAGAGTGGTGAGAGAGAGTGCAAAAGGAGAGCAGATGATAGAGTGGAGAGCAACTGTCAAGAAATTTTTAATGAAAATAAGAAAAAAATTTTGGGAGTGAGTTACAAACAAGTTAAGAAAGCCTAGGGAAAAATATGGATTTGTCAGTTAAAAAAACAGAGTAGGGGAGTAGTAGATGGGGGATGGAGGGTATTGGGTAGATGGCGAGGAAGAATATTTTGAGGAACTTTTAAATGTTAAGGAAGGAAACAGAGGCAGTAATTTCATTGCCTGGTAGGGAGGTATACATTCTTTTAGGAGTGAAGAAGAGCAAATGTAAGTGTGGGGGAGGTACGTGAGGCATTACGTAAAAAGGGGGGGTAAAGCAGCTGGAACTGATGGATCATGACAGAAATGTTTAAAAACAGGGGGGGGATTTAAAATGTTGGGTGTTGGTACTTTTTTTTAATAAATGTATGAAAGAGGGGGAAGGTACCCGGGGGTTGGCAGAGAGCGGGGATAGTCCCTTTTTATAAAGGGAAAGGGGACAAAAGGACTGTAAAAATTATGAGGAATAAGGGGTTACGAGTATACAGGAAAAGTGTCGGGAGGGTTTTAATTGAAAGATTAGAGGTAAAAAGAATGTAGGTTGCGGATGAGCAAGGAGGTTTTAGGTGGGTGGGGGTTTTGTAGACAGGGTTTACATTGAAGCTTATATGTAAAACAGTATTTAGATAAAGATAGGGAAGTTTTTATTGCTTTTTGGGTTTTAGAAAAGGCATATGATAGTGGAAAGGGCAATGGGGAGTGTTGAAAGTATAGGAAATAGGTGGTAAGTTATTAAAGCAAAAGGTTTTTTATGGGTAGTAGGCTCAGGTTAGGGGGGTGTAGAAGAGAGGGAGATTTTTTTCCCGGTAAAAGTAGGTCTTAGACGGGGATGTGTAATGCACAGGGTTTTTTTTAAAATATTTTGATGGGGTTGTAAAGGAATAATGCTAGGGTTTTTGGGGA